AGGCCAGAGGTAGGCAACCTTGGCTCTTTTATGACTCGTGGACTTCAACTCCCAGAATTCCTGAGCCAGCATGGCTCAGCATGGCAACCTCTCCCTTTCCCCTCAGCACGGCTGGCTCAGGAATTCTGGGAGTTGAAGTCCACGAGTCATAAAAGAGCCAAGGTTGCCTACCCCTGATCTAAACTCATCAAATCATGATCTAGACCAGGGGTGGGGAACCTTGGCTCTTTTATGACTTGTGGACCAACTCCCAGAATTCCTGAACCAGCATGGCTCAGCTGGGAAACTTCTCCCTTTCCCCTCAGCATGGCTGGTTCAGGAATTCTGGGAGTTGAAGTCCACAAGTCATAAAAGAGCCAAGGTTGCCTACCTCTGGCCTAGGCCGCTTCATGACTCATGGACTTCAACTCCCAGAATTCCTGAGCCAGCCATGCTGAGGGGAAAGGGAGAGGTTTCCAAGCTGAGCCATGCTGGCTCAGGAATTCTGGGAGTTGAAGTCCACCAGTCATAAAAGAGCCAAGGTTGCCTACCCCTGCACTAGTGAATGATAAACACAAGACAACACGCTGTTGAATAAGTCGTACTGAATTGTATGGGGGGGAAAATTAATAAAAACTTTACCAAAAAAATAAATAAAAATAAAACTCATCGGGTTTTGACCTTAAGGAAGTCTATCTGAGAAGCTTCATACATACGCCATCACTAATGAGTTGTGAAGCTCAGCTCTGGCCACTATTCAGAGTAAGTGGTCCTGACTTCCCCACCTCGTTGTCCTCTTTGAGACAACATATCTTCCCATATCATAGAGAGGAGACTTTATCTCAGGAGAAAGAACATGTCATAGCAGAACCTTCCCAACTATTTCAAAATCAATGGTCTGGGTAGGTGTTTGGACCACCCTACCATACCTTTGAAGTCTTCTGGCCTGAGAATTCTTAGAGTTATGCTGAGAAGAAGTTAGGAGAGCATAAATACATGCCTGATGCCGTGGATGTTCTTAATCGCATAGCTGATCTCTCTTCGAAGTTCCTTCTCGTCAAATTCCATCTGCACCAGGAGAAAGAGACACGGGTGAGGAACCTCAAGAGAGGAACACCCCAAATCACTTCCACCCCAAGGAGGAAGATGAATCAAACTTCTTAAGTCTGGAGATGTGATGGAAGAACATCTCCTAGCATTCTGAGAAACATCACCTCCTTTTTTTTTAAATTATTTCTTCGTTGGATAATCCTACAAGAGCACCCTTGTCCCTACCAAGCATCTTCCAGATGTTCTTCTTTAATCGCCAAGGGAGATGGCTAGTTATTTATTTTTATTTATCATATTCATTTAGCCGCCCATCTCCTAGTACAGGACGCTGGAGGGCGCGCAGTAATTTCTGCTGTAACAAAGCTATGCACTTATTGAAAAGCACTATTATGGGATGGTGGAAAAACCAGCTTGGCAACTAGAACATAACTATATGGCTGTCCTAGCACCACCTTGTTTTTATATTGACCAATTTCCTCCTGCCCATATCTTTATTAAAACTCTACCTCAGCCTTAAGTGATCTGGTGCTTTGCTGCAAGACGGATGAGATCTTACAACTGCTTAGAAGTTGGGGAGTTAACCATTTTGAGAGCATCCGGAAGTGTTCTACCTTGATTTGATTTAAATGTCAATTAAATGTCAACGTATCCATCAAAACAGAAAACACTGTTGTGTAGTACTGTCTTGAGTTAGAACCTAGAGGTTCTGGACTTACAGGTCTATGCTTATGTTTTAGGTCTTCAGACAGAGGCCCTCAACCTGACAGATATGGATTAAGAAGGACATCAAGATATGAGGAAAGAAGGACATCAAGATATGAGGATAAGTGGTGGATAGATTATATTCAGAGAAAGTATGGATTGAATAAATATCATATAGTTTTTGAGTAGATATATTTTTACTTATTGTTTTATTAGAGTTAAAGTAGGTAAATATTGATTGTAGTATGTTTGTTTAGTTAAATTGTAATTTAGATATGGAATGGGATGTGTTTTGATCCTGTATTTGGTTCCGGGAAGTCCAGGGGGGGAAGGGGATTAGGGGACAGAAATTATAAAAATTGATGTATTTATATGTTATAGGTAAATAATAATTGTATTGAAAAGAGGAGATGCTCGGCTGGTACCCCAAACTGCACTAGATGAGGTGGTTAAGAAGGGAGATGGGATGTAGGTAGGTGGAAAGGAGGAAGGAGGAGAGGTTGTGGGTTTAGAGGGAGGAAGGATAGGAAAGTGAATGAGGGTGGAGGCAAGGCGGGGATTGCCGAGCGTTTCCGAAAATGTATTGACTTGGATTATCTTTTTTCTGTTTGTGTATGTAAATGCATCATATTGGTATTTGCTGTTTAATTACAAAATTCAATAAAATTTTTATTAAAAAAAAAAAAGATATGAGGATAAGTGCCTCAACAGTCAACGGAAGCTGAGTTTTACCTTCACAAGCTCAAATGGGAATCGTTCGTGAAAGATGCGATTGATCCGGGCACCACCAGAGAGTTCATAGGTATCGATCTGATCTCCAGAACCTTCGATGCGCTTCTCAAAGTCCACAGCAAACTGCTGAACCATCCTGGAGGTGGAGAGAGAGAGAGAGAGATTGTTATGGTGGAAATATCTGCTCTGGCTTCCAAGAACATGGAAGGACCTTCTGCTTATAGGGCATAGTCTGGGCTGCTGGAACTTTTATGGAACATCCTTGATTGTTTGACCTACAAAGTTCCTACTTAGTCCCGTGTTCCCATGTACCACTACAACATAGGACTTACTGGAGCAAAGCTTTGGTCTTCCGGGCTGGATCGTCCGGACGGAAGTTCTTGTATTCGTCTACTTCCTTCTCAATAGACAGCAGCTGACTCTGGAGCTTGTTCCTCAGGCCTGGGAGAGTGTCGCGGATGTGGTTGGTCAGTTGCTGCACAACAGAGGCAAAATGGGGATCAAAACATGAGCCAAATCATATTTTTAATGCTCTTCCTTCCATCGGTAGCTCCACACTTTGGGCAGCTCATGATCAGCTTAGACCTTTTCTGCAGTGGTTGCTACGCAAACGTCACACTAAGTGAACTCCGTGGTCATTAAGTTAGTCACTGTGAGCCCTGGTGGCACAGTGGTTAGAGTCCAGTACTGCAGGCTGCTTCTGCTGACTGCTGGCTGCCAACAGTTTGGCAGTTTGTTCCTGACCGGCTCAAGGTTGACTCAGCCTTCTATCCTTCCGAGGTCGGTAAAATGAGGACCCAGATTGTTGGGGGCAAAGAGGCTGACTCTGTAGACCGCTTGGAGGGGGCTGTAAAGCACTGTGAAGCGGTATATACGTCTAAGTGCTATTGCTATCTCTCTCTGTCATCTATCTATCTATCTATCTATCTATCTATCTATCTATCTATCTATCTATCTATCTATCTATCTATCTATCTATCATCTATCATGGTAGCGCAGTGGTTAGAATGCAGTATTGCAGGCTAATTCTGCTGACTGCCAGCAGTTCGATCCTGACCAGCTCAAGGTTGACTCAGCCTTCCATTTTTCCGAGGTCGATAAAATGAGGACCCTGATTGTTGGGGGCAAATATGCTGACTCTGTAAACTGCTTAGAGAGGGCTGTAAAGCACTGTGAAGCAGTATATAAGTCTAAGTGCTATTGTTCTCTCACTCTCTCTGTCTATCTATCTCAATCCATCTATGTATCTATGTATCTTTGTATCTATCTATCTATCTATCTATCTATCTATCTATCTATCTATCTATCTGCCATTATCTGTCGTAACTTTGAATAGTTGTAAATTGAGGACGGTGAATCCAATGGGCAGATTTCTGACTCGGCAGCTCTGCAGGTAAAGGTTACCTGGTTCAAAATTTTCTGCAGGTAGGGAGTCCCCATACGGTCTGCCATGTGCCGGTACGCCGGGTGGGAGAGAAAGAACTTGCGTTCAGCCGCTAAAGCGGCCTGAATGTCCTTCTTCCCATCGATGTCCTTCTGGCTGCGGTTCACCACCCCGATGTAACCTACGGAAGGACACCAGACATCAGAGGATGAACACCAGATTAAACAGAGGCATAGAATCAAGATCACGTGAGGTATTAGTACCGCTTTATAGACCCCTAGTAAGGCCGCTAGACCTGGAATACTGCAGCCAATTTTGGTCACCCTATCACAAAAAAGATGTTAAGACTTTGGAAAAAGTTCAGAGAAGAACAACTAAGATGATCCAAGGCCTGAAGACTAAACCATACGAAGAATGGCTCGGTGACTTGGGTTTGGCTAATATAGAGAAAAGAAGGACTGGGGGGACATGATAGCAGTGTTCCAGTATTTGAGGGGCTGCCACAAAGAAGAAGAGGGGCTCAACTTATTCTCCAAAGCACCAGAAGGCAGGACAAGAAACAATGGATGGAAACTAATCAAGGACAGAAGCAACCTGGAATTAAGGAGAGACTTCCTAACTGTGAGGACATTTAACCAGTGGAACAGCTTGCCTCCAGAAATCGTGGATGCTCCATCACTGGTGGTTTTTAAGAAGAGACTAGACAGTCACTTGTCTGAGATGGTATAGGTTCTCCTGCTTGAGCAGGGGGCTGGACTAGAAGACCTCCAAGGTCCCTTCCAGCTCTATTCTATTCTAAGAACACCTGGAAATGCTACTTCCAAAATTACAAAACAGAGATGGGCCTAAGAAGTGATGTTGTTGCTGGTATTATCATCGTCATCAAAATATTATTTGTCATAGTCAACCAGATGTTCAGACTGGATTTAGTATTTATGACCACCTATCGAATCTTTCCTAAAGACCTGGGATAGACAGTTGTGGATCTCCCAAAGGTGCTTTTTCAGGAGACAACTGGACTTTCTGGTTTTTTTCCTTTGAAGACATTTCACTTCTCATGCAAGAAGCTTCTTCAGCTCTGACTGGATGGTGGGGAAATGGAAGGATTTATACTCCTTGCAGACCGCTGGTCATTTGCATTCTTTTAGAGAGTCGTTGAGGCCACTTGGAGCTTAGAAATCCTTCAATTCCCCCACCATCCAGCCAGAGCTGAAGAGGCTTCTTGGATGAAAAGCGAAACGTCTTCAAAGAAAAACAAGAAAGTCCAGTTGCCTCTTGAAAAAGCACCTTTGGGACAACCATGACCTGGATGACGGAGAATCTCCACAGATAGATGTGGATATTTGACACGATTAAAAGCCTCCTCACAGGATGTAAGCTATTCCAAACAAAGCTGCCTTCCGCAATTGACCAATGGGGATTTTGTCAACGCCGATAGTGCTCAGTTGTTAATCAAATTCATTTGCCGCCCATCTCACTCAAGCTAGCACTAGTTTTTAGGTGTCATGTTCTCAACACTCCAGTAGAAAGTACAACATCTTTGGGACACCTCCCAGTTTGCATAAATCCAATAAATCAGAATAAATCGGGTGCTAAGGTTATATGAACACTAGCAGCAGGAAGGCTGGGCACAAAAGAGGAACATTTGAAACTGGAATTTGAGGCCGCATAATTGTCTGTGCTTCCCCTCTCATTTTCGTTAACAATGGGCAGGATGCCTCGGAAATTGTTTTCTTCCTGTTAGGCTATATCAAAGAATCAAGATAGAAGCCATCCAGCAAATTCTGCTCCATTCCCCGAGCCTTAATTCTACCAGGAAAAATGAGAACATGGTCCTTCCTCAAAACAACAGGATGCTAACCAGGGAATTCCCAGGTCCCTAGAAATGGACAGTATAAAAGAATGAGATATCTAAGAAGAAATGACTTAACTCTCCATCTTTCATACAAACAGAGAGAGAGAGAGAGAGACATAAGTGGAAAGGAATTTGACAAGCTTGGTGGAGTGAATTCTCCATGGAATCTAGAGGATCTGATTTTTACAAGCTGGAATTATCATGTTTGGGAGGAAGAACAGCAACAAAGGAAGTTTTCAGCCAGATTCAGCAGAGAAATGAAGAGAAGTTGAGGATTCGGGTCCCATGTTTTAAATCAGATCATCCCTTGATGTTACCCACCTAGATGCTATTGTAATGATAACATGGGCTAAAAAAAACCACCACTTTTTTTTTACAAGTAGTTCTCAATTTACAACAGTTTCTTTAGTAACGATTCGAAGTTACAACAGCATTGAAAATGGGGACTTATGACTGATTTTCACACTTACGATCCTTGTGGCATTCCCGCGGTCACCTGATCAAGATTCAGATGCTTGGCAACTGACTCATATTTATGACGGTCACAGTGTCCTGGGGTCCTGTGATCCCCTTTTGCGACCTTTTGGCAAGCAAAGCCAATAGGGGAAGCCAGATTCATTTAACGGCCATGTGTCTAACACAGGGGTCTTCCAATTTGGCCCTTTGATGACTTGTGGACTTCAACTCCCAGAATTCCTCAGCCAGCGTGAGGGAAATATGACCCTTTGATGACTTGTGGACTTCAACTCCCAGAATTCCTCAGCCAGCGTGAGGGAACTATGACCCTTTTATGACCCGTGGACTTCAACTCCCAGAATTCCTCAGCCAGGCTTTAGAGGGGTTGCATCTAAATCCTTCCTTGAGCCAAAGAGGAACTTCTCTCCACGGAGAGCGATAGCCTTGCTAAGATGTGGGGTCAGACATTCATGGGGCTCCAAAAGAGAGCAAGGCTCAGGAAAGGAACTTCTTCACCTCTCCTTAGTGGAAGCAGCTTGTTCTCCAGAACGTCCCGCGCATCGGTTCCTTCGTCCATCAGGTCCAACTTGGTGATGACTCCAATGGTACGTTGGCCTGTTAGGTCACAAGCAAAGCAGACAACTTGTGAACGACTAAGAAGAGAGTTATGGGTGGTGTGTTGGGTGGAGTTATTCCACCTTAAAGCCTAGACTTTCCCATTAAGAAGAAAAGCAAAGGTCTAGCATCAGGATTAGCACTATCCCCAGCTAGCAGTGATGATGTTACCTAGTTAGGTCATGAAATGTCTGCAAGAAAACAACCAAGCTCACAGAGCACCAAGGATCTTTCAGTTCTCCTCTTCCTCCTCCTCCTCCTCCTCCTCCTCCTCCTCCCCCTTCTAGCACTGATGATGTTACCTAGTTGGGTCCTCCTCCTCCCTAAAGGTGGTCCTCACCTTGAGGGTCAACCTCCTTCGCGATCTTAAGAGCATCGGAGTTGGCCAGATCGCTGTTGGCTGGCGACACAGCAAGGACGAGGCAGTTTTCTTTGGTGACAAACTGCATCAGCATGTCTCGGATCTGGAATTCAATGTCTACTGGCTGGTCTCCAACTGGGACTTTGGTCATTCCAGGAAGGTCCACCAGGGTCAGACATAGGACTAAAGAGAGAAGAGGAAGAGATAACAAGACCCAGAAGGACTCATGGATGGACCACTGTGTGAAGCTTGAAAGGAACCTCAAGGAGAAGAGCTGGCTATCAAGGCGGGGATGGGGAATGAAGAATTAAAAATGTCACAACGAAGCCAGCCGTATCATTAGAAGCTTCAATTGTAGGTTCCTTTCCCCGTACGTTTTGTTTCCACCTCAAAATCCTAGAACTTTTCATCCTCACCCAAAGCGGGGTTGTAGATATAATAATAATAATAATAATAATAATAATAATAATAATAATAATAATAATAATAATAATAATAATAATAATAATAATCATCATCATCATCATCATCATCATCATCATCATCATCATCATCATCTTATTATATAAATAAAAATGTAAATGTTCATTTGTTCAAAATCTTAAATCACCGAAAGTTCTTCACCGATTGCTTTGAAATTTTGACACAACGTTGCATTCGAATACGCGCGTGTTTTTATATACCTACTATTATATAGATGTCACACCTGTGACAGGTAAAAACATGCTATTTTTTGAAAAACAGTGCCATCTGTTGGACGTAAAAGCATACCCACAAGCATTGTGAAATTAAACATATTACAAACGTGCGCTTTCTCTTTTCTTTCTTTTCCATTTAAGCAGACTGAGCCACAGCATCAAGTGGCCGGGTACAGCTAGTAATAATAATAAAGTTGGAAGGGACCTTGGAGGTCATCGAGTCCAACCCCCTGCTCAGGCAGGAACCCTACACCATTTCAGACAAATGGCTTTCCAGGGTGAGAAGTTAAATAGATAAGATGTGTATTTTGAATATTAGATCTTGTGAGGAATGGTGATAAGAGGAATTGGAGGTATATTAAAAATCTTGGGCATGATAAATATTAAACGTTAAATTGAAATGTTAGTGGAAATTAAAACTGGAAAAATTGATTAGGTCATCGATTGTCTAAAAAGATTGCATGCTAAAACAACTAAAATATATATAAACAAAAAAAACTATCGATATATGTGAGAAAGTTATTTTTTTATGTGATTGATAGAATAAAACTTGTTTTAAATCTACAAATAGACAGTACATATGAAGGGGAAAAGAGAGGAAATGCTTACGGTAGCAATTTGAAATCTGTACTAACGATATTTGTATGTAATTGAATTACTACTACCCAGCCGCCACGTTGCTTTTCAAAGATGTGAATGTCATATTAGAAAACCAATAAAATTTGTAAAAGCAAAGCCGAGTTGTAGAGTTCTACCCCTCGTTCTTGGCACGCTCCGTGACTTACCGTTAGGAGAATAAACTCGCAGATTGATGGGGACGGAGGAGATCCCCTTGTTAGAGCCGGTGACTCTGTCGGTCTCGGCTTCGATCTCCATACGGATCTCCTCAAAGTCCGTAAATATCTTTCCTTTGCAGTGTAGGAATTCTCCATATTCTAGAGCAGGAAGGAGATGGTTAGAAGATGTTTAGGAGGACAGGCCAGGGAGAAGACCAGAAAAAGTGGCAACTCCTTGGTGCAAACAAGGTATAACAGCTCACAGATGGGGAGATCTTTTTTATTATTATTACAAAATTGTATTTATAATACAGTTAAAAGAAACATTGGATATGACGTGACCTTCCAGTATATCCATTCTTATCAAATTATTCCACATTTGACAATCGATTCTTCATCTCTGAATATACATCTAAATTTTATATACAATACTTAATCTATTTCTCTATTTGCTAACCTAAAGTTACATATATTTCTACCTTAACGCTAGCCTATAATCCCAACCGTCCTTCTCGAATCCCTCCAGCAGTAAAATTTATCCCAGGTTTCGAAATAAACTGATCTACATTTGTCTTTCAATACCATTGTGAGCCTGTCCATTTCCGCACATGATAATCTATATAAATAAAAATGTAAATGTTCGTTTGTTCAAAATCTTAAATCTCCGAAAGTTCTTCACCGATTGCTTTGAAATTTTGACACAACGTTGCATTCGAATACGCGCGTGTTTTTACATACCTATATTATATAGATGTCACACCTGTGACAGGTAAAAACATGCTTTTTTTGAAAAACAGCGCCATCTGTTGGACGTAAAAGCAACACACGCTTTTACCAGACTGAGCCACAGCAACGCGTGGCTGGATACAGCTAGTATTTTATATAGTGTCTCTTCCTCTGTGGGAATTTCTTTGCTCTTCCACTTTTGCGCGAACGCTAGCCTAGCTGCAGTCAAGATATGTAACAGCAAATAGATTGTTCCCTTATTGTATTTCTCTGTAGTTATTCCCAACAGGAAAAGTTCAGGTTTTAACTCTAAGTGCAATTAATATATCTTTCAGCCATCTTCGTATCCTGTCCCAATACTCACAAGCCTTTGAGCATTCCCACCACATATGATAATATGAATGGATGGGGAGATCTTAAATCAAGATCTTGATGTTTACTTGGCCAACGTTATTCAGGTTGATTGTCAACTTGGAGAGGGACAACTACTATGTTCTGCTCTCTGGAATATCCTCATTTTTGCCCCCCCTTTTTTTCTCCTTGTGGACAAAGCTTTGGCACCAGATCGTACCCCCCACAGCTCTGCTTTTCCACCCTGGACTTGAGAAGTTGGTGTCCTGGTGAAGAGGGAGGATCCAAAACAAACTCACATACCAGTTGTGGCATTCACCAGTTGCAGAACCAAAGGGCGTCGGGTCACAATCCCGGATCCGCGGGGCAAAAAGTCCCTGCAATGAAAAGGAAGAAACAAGATCAGGGATTCTTGTCTTCCGTTCTTTGTCTTCCGGATGGCAGCAAAAC